CATGGGAAATTGCCTCCACCATTCCTATATTGATTTAAATGGGAAAACAAAACACATTACACTTGTGATGCATCAGAGTCCTATTACTTTCGGACCATCCTGTATGAATTATATGTTATGTAGTTCTAAAATCGACAAATGGTAGTCAAGAACCCCCCCTCTCAAAAAAAAGTTAAATAAATAAAGTACATTTGAAATGCCATCTCTGGTGACCTGAACACACTCATAACTTGTCTTTGCTGGAATCATTGTAAATATTTTAGTATTTGACTGACCATTAAGTCCTTGTTTCTAATGGACTCCATGAAACTGCTTGTTTTTGTATCATTGATTCCTCCCTTCCGGTTTTGTATGTTAATTGGTAACGTCTTCGTTAAATTAAGTATGTAAATAAATACCAACCTTTTTCTTAAGATATTTGATTCAACACCATAAGCCTCGGAGAATTCTGCATGTCGGCTAGGATATTTAACAAATATTTTTACTCATTAGTTAATATATTTTCTTATATCAGGCAGTTAAAAGAGCGCGTAAAATACTGCCATGTGCTAAATTACGAATTCCTCTTTTTAACATGTTTTTCGTTGATCCCAGATCGAAACTTGCTGTGACTCACCTGCTTTGTTACCATTATCTATGCTACGGCCAATGGATATCTGATAAACTGTGGTACCTCTGTTTAGAAAGAAAACATAATTACTGAACTAAGCAGATATACATACTTGCAAGGTCAGTTTGTAAAACTAGGTCAAGACTCTGTTCCTGCAGTCGTATCTGTTCCTTGTAGTTTACCTGTTACCTCTCTATCCATGTATCAAAGCCGTGGAAGTATATACACAGTTTTACTTCTAGATTATCTGAAATATATATATAAAGACGAAATGTGTGTTTGTTTGCACCCTAACTCCACCGAGCCTATGGGGAATGTCGTAAGAGGGTCAAATTTGAACCTAACCCTATTTCTGTTTGGTAAAGCCTGTTGGGTAATTATTCACAGCCCATTGAGTCAATCTCAAATAATCTTGCCGAGTGGACACTTTAGACAATGTTGAATATTCTAAATGGATTCAAGGTCAAAGGTATGAAAGTTGCTGGATTGTTTCTCAATCAACTATGCTTTTCTCATGGTCAATGAGATGTACGGTGTTCAAGGGTAGGATCACCTCAAAATCTTTATTTGTTGGTAGATGGAAAGCAAACTGCAAACGTTATTTATGAAAAAACTTTGTTGACTGCTGTTAAACTTGCATTGTTTTAATTAAATTTGAATATTCCCCCTTAGTTGACAGGTATTTCAGCTTGTGTATATATATATATATATATATATATATATTAAGCAAGAAATATATATGTCTGTCTGTTTGTCCGTTATCTAACTACTACTAGTTCGCTAGGCCAATTTCAAACCAAACTTTG